ATAATTCCTTGCATATCTTGTTTTGTTTTTACTAGTCTGAACTCGTTCACAAAATTAGTATTTGGAACAATAGATTAGATATATTAGATCTGGTGACTTGTCATATTTCATGCGGGTTGTTGATGTTGTTCGCCGCTCATTACTTGAAATGGTCAATTCTTGAGTATTACCAGAGAAATTAAGCTTGAATGGGAAGTACACTTATACGTGTTAGAAGAACAGCTGAGTTTCAACCGATTGCTTAGAAAGCAATGTGATTTGAGTGTATGTGTACTAATGTATGTGTTTGGTAGCTGATAGACGGAGTTATGTGTGTGATTGAGTGCATGGCATAGAACATCAATGCAATTGTATGCGTAATCTTTACGTCCTTGCAACTGCTATCGAGTATAATGATCATTAACTTATTCATACTGCGTAATTTCTAGCCTAGCATCAAAGATAACACAGTTTTATCAGATTTCGTTGTACTTCATTTGAAACATTCCACTCATTTTGTTGTTTGTCAAGTTTAATTCTCTTGGATGGAATTTGTATTAAGTACTACTTTGTGATTTTACAAGTGCATCACACAAAATTTTTATTTGGATAGTTAACCACTATCTTTGGTGAATTGGCAACTTGTATCCATCCAATATATGGAGGCAGTTATCTTCTTTATTATTTCAGCTGCATTCAATCAGGTTTCCTCTCAGATACAATTTATTGATGCTGACGACGTGGATTTCCGTTGCACTTGATTAGGTTCATTGCAGAGCGACACAAAAAAAAAACGACCACGACGCACGTATGACTCACGGGTGCTATAATTCAAACCGTTGCAATTGCTTAGCCACCATAAAACCCTCCCGACTTTACACATACTCCGTAGGAATAATTTTAGTAACGACCTCTGACATTCTTAAATCCCCTTCACCCTCCAGTGTTATAAATTTACTGGTTGTCATACATTATGTGGGATGTCGATGTCATGCCTTATAAAATTTACAAGATCCTGGTGGCGTATAATATAAAATAACATAAATGACGAGAAACACTAATGAAATACAAATACACGTTTTGAGAGGAATTCGAATTAAGTCCCCTCACTGGTCCGTTCGAGATTCCTTAACAACTGATCGTCCAGTTTAACATTTTTACTCAAATGCAAATCTCGTAATACACGCTGCACAAACTATGTTGTCGACACGTGAATCAAGTGCATGAAATCAACAACTGGGTCAATAGTTCTCTTCGGAAAAATCTTTAACTTCTTACGAAAACATATAAACTTCCATTTACACGTGTGAGTGGTAGGCCCAAAATGTTGGTTTACGCACATATCCATATTAACACTGATTCAGTCACTCGAGATACCGTGGTGACATTTATACTTGACTGCCATGTTATTTTTATATTATGACGTAAATGGGTTCCGGTGCGTAATGCTTTTTTCTAAAAGAAATAATCAAGAAATGTATTGTATCGCTTTATTTTGAGAAAAAAATTGGCTCCATTTACTGCATTTGTCGGTCAGCGTCTTTGTTGCTAACTCATGGCAAGCAGGGCAAAAAAGCGAATCTGGTAATATTTGCATATACAAAGAGTTGAATGCCGAATAAACCAATCCCTGAACCGAGTTTTTAAAAAAAGGCCACTGCCCCGTCCCTGTCTCTAATGAAGTGGATACTATTTTCCTGGCGATTTTCGCAAATTCTCGGAACAAATGTAATAATAACAGAACGCAATTACTTCATCCTAACGTTCGTGGTGTACGAAAGTTATTTTCACTCGTGATGTCGTCTAGTCATAATGTCATGTAATCTCTCGCTTGCTTGTCTCTAAATCAATAGCCCGAACACTCGAATGCAATGACATGCCTAATAATGGCAGGTACTATTCACTTTGCGCTATGCACTATGCTGTGTACTTTATGCTGATTTACAAAGTTCATGGTATATTTGATTTTAAAGGAAATGTAATTCAACTAGTACGTATGCGTCTTTGTATTCTTTCATTCACAATTGGATAATTACACCAATGCACTATGCTGTGCACTTTATGCTGATTTACAAAGTTCATGGTATATTTGATTTTAAAGGAAATGTAATTCAACTAGTACGTATGTGTATTTGTATTCTTTCATTCACAATTGGATAATTGCATCCAATTTGACATTAATTTGGACCCGGTCTAGACAGGAGATGTGTCAGCATTTCGAGAGGCTGTTTCACACGCACATGTGCATTGTTACTGGTTGTTAGAACGAGGATAATCAACACCGTATAAGAATATTGATTGCTCAATATGCGATTGTCTACCGTAAACACTATACTGTCTACGTGCAATACTCTCTGACATGGTATACGCTCTGACATGGCGGTAATGATACAAAAGCAATAACCAGGACAGTTACAAGGAATAGGTTCAATGTAATCAGATCCTCTCCATAACTGGATTGAATTACCCAACCTTTTGGATTTTTCATTAGGCTATATTTCACGAGAATGCATTGCTGTCAGTGTCGAACACACTTCCTTGAATATGAAAGACAGATCAATGAACAGTGAACAGGTTCCAAGAAGGCTTCATTCTTAGTGTCTCCAATACAAACGTTTTCGCCCTGTTTCGTGCATTGCGCCATATTGAATATTTAAACTTGTCTTCCTGACTGTGTTGTCATTTGGCGTAGTGCTGATCAGACGTGGAACACAGCAAATCATAATGTGAACCGTTAGATGTATCAATCGTACACGTCAGAGGAATGAATATCCTTGTTAAAAAAAAACAAAAAAACAAACTGAAAATGAATTAATAATTCTACCTTGATTCTGAAAAATTACTATGAGTTGCCTCTAATGTGAATTCAAATGAATCGTGTCCTTGAAATTCAACAATAATGTCTTTTTTTCCCCCACTTTTTAAATGAACTTCTATATACAATTCCTGTAAACGCATCATGTGACCGTAATTTGACTTCGGAAGTCACTGTTCATCAACGAGCTAAAGCCAATTGCCCTGGGCGTTACTAATTTAGTCTGAGCTAGCTATTTAGCACAGCGGGGATAGATATCGACATACCGTTCCTGATATATCGGTGAACTAAAACATTTATCGCCGCAACGAGTGGGCTTGGATGCATTCTGCTATAAATTACCGTTTCCATTTAATCTTCTAAAAAAGGATGAGATTTTTTCACTCTGTGATATGCCGCTTAGAATTGTCAAGAAGGAATATTGATATCGCATTCCTTAAATCAAAATCTGAAACGAATGAAAAACAAATATATATACTCGATTGTGTTACATACTAGGGCGTTGGGAATAATCGCCGGACTTTTATTATTGAAACTCCGTGCTAAAGTACGTATTTTCCATTCACATTGAATGTAGCCACGAACAAGGATGAAATGTGCATTGATTTATCACGCAATTCAACAGACTTATTATTCTTCCTGAAACGCATTTAGTTTACGCATTTAGTAATGTAATAACGCATTCAACGTGCTATGTATGTAATGCTGACGCACACCGTAGCATTGATTTTATGCTAAAATGTTTATTCATCCATCAGTCGATCGACTGTCAAACCTTTTTAAATGCGGTCCAATTGTACAATGAATAACGATAATTGCCAATGTAATAATGCCGTTTCCACGGTATTTGACGTTGCATCCCCAAGCGAAGCGATTTATCTAATGCTAGACACTATGTATTATTAAGATCAGCAGCAGCGATGTCAGTAGCGATAAATCATTAAAATATATATTTCTCAGTATGTATCATGTTTTTATCAAACTTGCAATACCGTCTAGTGTAGGGAAATTGCTATATTTTCGAACCTGATTAACAATGTTATTTAGCCACCAAAGTTACATGGTGATTGTTGACCGGAGTGACTATTCAAAATAGCTCTAAAGTGTTCAGCGATATCAGTTACATATGAAAAGCTAGCAAGATGATAGTGATCGAAAGAACAGAACAACCTTCAAATAGAACATGTAATAATCGACACGCATATAAATGAGTTGAAATTATGGTTAATTCGCTTATGGTCTTCTCCCCAACACTGCTGGATCGATTTTAGTTGCATGTGACACAAATGCTATTTTAGAACATATTCATAACCTGATGTTCTCTATAGTTAAAATTTAGTGAAACCGCCTGATAACGCTGTTTTGTATTTGTTACAATGTGGAACCCCATATTTGCTGAATATATTACTGGCCGTCACATCACCACATCACAAATACGCTTATCATCGCCAACAAAAAGACACAAATTACACCTCGGACGATTACATGGGCATTTTCAGATAACCCACTTTATCCCAGTAATGTCGAACACCTTCCATGAAGTGGTACCCCGGCGTCAAGCAGTAATCGGCACGTGTTCGACGTGGAGGCGGCTAGTTGCATCGTCGTTCTGTAAAATGTTTTGAACATGTTTTTAATCCTAATGCATGCTAAGTGCGACATGATCATTTTTCTTTATATCTATATGGAATATATATTTTTATATTTCTTGAGGCGAATATCTTGGCGGAAAGCTAACGACACGTGTTTGCTAATCCAATATTTCCATGCCAAATAAATAAATGATGTTGATTAGATTTGCCGCGTGTTACAGAAAATTACTGCAAAAACTGATATATTGTTTTAGATTGAAACGGGCTTGGGCATATGTCATATTAACATAACGCCATAAACTCGACCTGACGTTTGGGGATTATAAAAGTTAATTTGACTCTCTACGCCCGTAAACAACATACTGCTGGATAAAATACATCACTCGTCAAAATTAATCCATACTCTCAAGGACTTTAGGCAGATCGCTGACAATCATACCAAATACCAACAAATAAATTCAAAATATAGAATTGAAATAAGCGGTTAGACTGAAATCGCAGATAGTTCAGCACTATATACGCGAATTCGTAATAGTGCAAAAGCGTTGTCTGACTTTGTGGTATACACGAAACTACTTGCTGGCTAATTATTACGGTGTTTTGTTTTATCCTAGACACCTTGGCGAATACGTGTCCTCTTGAGTATCCAATTGAGTCCTGTCCAGCCGAAGGCGATCGTGAAGTTGACCAGTATTGCTGTTACTCGCCGGAAGAAGGTTATCATTGTTGTGCAGACACACTACCGTGAGTGAGAATTTATTTTATAAGAACAAAAAACCAATATGTAACAACCCAATATTTTAGTATCCTTGAATGACTTTACCCAGATTAAGTCCCACGTTCTTCTCAGTGGAATATTATACATTCGGACTCTAAGTATCGTACCCTATATGACCCTATATTGACATTCCGTTAATGCACACATAATAGAACATAAGAACAAGTTTAGTATTGAACAATGTACAGTATTAATGTAGATGTCATGTTTCTGCTCTAATTATCTATTCAGTTGATCGATTTTTTGGGTCATATATTTTTCAAATTGCTCGTTCAATGTCAACCTCATTCCGATTCTAGCAAAAAACATAAATACCCCTTAAGCGCCACATAAATTATCGAATATATTATCTACTTTAATACTTTTAATACGTTTACTTTAATACGTTTTGAGATGACGAATTCAACCTCGGAAGTATTTTAGTAGTTTTAATTATTCAATTATTTTCCCGTTTGCTGTGTGCTGATCACATTCTTCAATCAAACTTAACATCGAAGCTTATATTGCGATCTCTGGAGATGTTGCTTTATTAAACCTTATCATACGTTTATTTGAACCTGCGAATGCGACATATTAAATTGTCCGACATTTTCCCCAAAGCAATGGTATTCATTGATGCTTTTTTTTCTGGCTACTTTGAGACTTGCCTAAATTCAACAATCGTGATAATGGCACACTATGCATGGATCAGACAAATGTCCACCAGCCTGTAATTTTACGAGCGATATAACGTCTTATGAGAGTTTTCATCTCTTCAAGTTCCGATACCGATTATGAAGTGCGTGCTAATGTACCAAACGTAAATGTATAATATGTTAAAATATTCTTACCGGATTGTTTTGTGATTAAAAAAAAGAATTGGCAAAGAAATATCATTGTTGACTATTTTTAAATGTCAGTAGATGGGTCATGAACGTGTATCTGCCATTATACACACGGAAATAATCGTCGGCATTTTTTCGGCGTGTGTAAATTATGTTCATGATCATTAAAAATGAAATCTCTCATTTTGCAAGCTAAGCTAAGCGTTTCGTTTATTTGCATGTACAGTAGCCGCTTCATTTCCATACGTTATACGCCCAATATTAAAATACCTTACTACACATATTCTTCCAGACCCGGCAGCGGAAAGTACTTTTTCATGCTTGTTTCCCTAGGAACCGTTTCCGGATGACACACATCTCCCTGATCGCAATCTATTAGCCGTGATGCTGCGTTCATGTGACTTCCGTGATAAATACCCAATGTATTTTACTCTAAATTGAAAAAATCATTTATTAAAGTCTGTTACGCTTCGACAACCTAAACTTTTACGAAGTTCGTTAGAACCATTTCAATCATGCATTTATATTTTTATATATTATTATAACTATTTAAGTGTCAACAAATTACGATAAATATTTGTCGGCGTTATTCCTAAATCTTGAGCGCTCATTCACTAAAGCACTTCATCTCTACGTCATCTCTACGTTCTATTGTTAAATTAATTAACCAAAAACCTGCTTACAGTTATGACACGGCGTCGGCAGTGAAAACAGACTACGATTGCGCAGACACGACATGTGATATAATGTAATTATATTGATGAGTCATCAAGGTCATTCGTGACCCTTATGTAATTAATTAACCTAGCGGGAAGAACGCAATTAGGAAGCTGTATGTTCAACACGGTGCACGTTCAATTACTCCACTTTCAATTAAGCGCAAGAGTCTCCGTTATAAGCGTGATTCGACGATTATTTTGTGAAACAACTCTTCATGATACTAGACACAAATGATTAAACTCACTTATGGCGCCAATGGTGGCCGTATTCCAAATTGTCTTTTGGGTTATGCATTAAATATCCGCGGCACAAAACTAGTAAACGAAAAAAAATCATGTAATTATTTATCTCAACAATGATAGATAGAATATGTTAATCAATCAGCAGACCGCGTTTACAGCGATGTTTCAAACAAATAGTTGATAATTCTGATTACTTATGAATAATCTTGCGATGCAGGTTTGGAAAAGTCTTTGCCTATTCCCATTTTGATTGATAAAAATTAGTAATTATTTTCTCATTTGTTCACATCCATTTTGTGAATTATTGACCATTTCGACGAATCATTATTTATTGACCGTTAACAACACATTCATCATGGTATAGAATGACTCGCTATGCAAAGCTTCCTGTCATATATAAATGCAATTATTGACAAAATTCCCCAAAAATATATTAGACAACAAATTCAACAAGTCATATAAATGCGAAGAGAATTTACTAGTTTCATCTTCATTTCTTTAACTGATTCAGCTCCTAGTACCATAAATGTGTCGTATACAACCAACTGACAAAGCAAACATTATACTTGTGTGGTTAATCTACTTGGTTGCCAATGAAATGATTGATCGTGCCAGAGTGTTAAGGGAAATCATGCAGGCCCCAAATTGCGATAAATCGTGGATGTGTTTTTTTCACGATTAACATTTTTACAAGAATTGCCCAGTATGATATGAACTCCATGAGTACAGGTTTAACAATTACCATGATAACCAAATTAATCATTCTGTTAACATTATTTTGTGCCTACTATACCTTCTGAAGTTATGAACATTTGAGCTCTTCCGCCAAATTGGAAATCAGTGTATTATTATTCGGAATATTGATACTTAGGGACTCTTCTAATGTCTTTTCGTAGTCAACAAATCACTCGCACTATACAAGTGTGTGTACAAATAATGATATTATGCTCCGAGAAAGCGGCAGCAATTACTCTGTTTTCTTGTAAATGAAATTGACGGTTTGTTTACACGTCGGTCTGTCTCGAATGGGAACTCCAAATGTGTTTTCGTTATAGATTCTAACAGTAGAACCTTAACACATCGCTGATGAAACTATATTTAATGCAAATATGTTGGTTGATTTTAATGCTCATAGGCGTAATTTGCGATACGCTCGTAAGTCTATTCGCATATTCATCCAAAAGCAAAATTAATACACTCAAACGTAACCCCAGAAACTACACGGAAATGTCATTATGTCCATGCTAAATTTGTATAACCAACAGGTCTGTAATTTCCTGCAATCAACATCATAATGAAAACGACATAGATTTTCATAAACGTTGCCCAGCAACCATCACTAGGCTTGAATTTTTTAACCGTTATTCTCTGCCGATTAGGATTACTACTCGGATCTGAAATAATGGGTTGGTTTACAGAGTACAGCAACTGATAAACACCGTCCGTTTATATAACATACTGTCGCATGCATGAAATTGAAAATAAAACAACTAGTTGAATGTTTAACCATCTATTGTCCACCAGTAATACGTTACGCCATTGTATGTATTTATTACGTAACCAATAATAACCTCAAGGCAATTTACAAGAAAGGCCACGATCACACAGACGATTTCGATAGGTATTCTACGTCATTGCGTTTATCAACCTGCGGACAATGTGATTGATAGATGACGTCAGTTAAATGCAAACATACGCAATTGATTATGATGCTGATATGATCAAACTTTTTATTTGGCAGACGTGGATTGAATACGCCATACAGCATGGTAAACACATGTACGTGATTCAAACGTCGTTCCATTAAATATGATATCATTAACTCGCTTCTGAGTGTAAAAACGAGACAGAACTAAAAATCGTAAATTTAAATCCTGTTAATCTTAAGTGTTATTACTATCATGAGTTTTAACTATCGTGGCGTGGAAATTCTAAGAGCGGATACACCCGCACATGAACAACATTTGTTATGCATTTGTATGTTTACATTGAGAGTCCTTTAATATAGTCGAAGGCCGGGAGTCCTCTATCGATTATGTTTAAGTTTTAAGTCTTCTTACACTACATAATGCGTTTCGCAAGGTTAGCTCTGTCTCTCAAAATAATGGTAGTTATATTTCGCCCAACAAATTTTAGAGTAACAAGTACACGATCAGTAAACGCAAATGATTAGGTAAGTCCAGGCGATTCGGGAAGAAGCTCATCAGAAAATTGACATGAAAGGCAAAACATAATAAATGAAAATGACAAAATCGTCATCGAAAGGAATACGATCTCAATCAGAAATGTTCTCATTTTACAGACTTGCAGGTCAAGTCGTTTTTATTGATTATCAAATACAGAGCAGGACTGACAAGTCAGTGGTGTTCCTCGTTGATTCGGTTGCCATGGATTAAACTCTGAGCGATGGTACGTGTTTTGTAAAGGTTATAATATCAGACGGTAAAACATATCGTGCCATCGTCTTAGTAAAATACATTGAATTTGACAGTGACTGATTAACACAGCTAAGAGCAATAATACTAGAACGCATATTAGAAGAATTCTGTTCCAATACCAGGATAGCATGTAAAATAATATTGATTACATATTTGCGTATTTAAACCTTTGCCCAAATTGTTTGAATGAAGCATGAATGACGCGATTATCGGTTTATACCCTGAATAGTGTCTATAAATAGTACTATTCTAGTACACATAATATGAGATGAGAATTGCCAATATTTGGGTAAAGAAATGTTATATATTGACTCGTTGTTGTCAATTTAGTCTCTACTATAAGATTCCAGGCATTGTTATATGTTTATTACATTTTTCATCCGTCACATTATGGATTACTCTATTCAGTCTAATTGTTATATAAATAATAATAATTGGTAATATTCCTGAATACGAAGGTGATATTGAACACTTGAACTGTCTATTTGTGTTATAGTAATGTTTAAAGCGTGGTGTATACACTATACGCCACACTTATGCTGCGACATTTCAGTTAGTTTGGGTACCTGCATACCGAGATTTCACGTAAGAAATGCTAATAATAACCAAGAATAATATAAAAAGCAATTTAGAAATGTGTCTGCTTGGCAAAATTCCTCTGGGTGACAGAAATACAATACTACGATAGGGAGTATGTGAGTCAGTTAAATAACAGCGTAAACCAATGTAGTCATCAGCTCGC